AGTGCACATGCCCTATAGTAAAAATCTTTTATCTTAAAAAAAAAAAAAGGAAAAACAAAACAAAACCAAACCAAGGCAGTAGAAAAGCTCCTGAAAATTGCTTGGACATTAAGTAATAGACATTATTCACTGATCCATTTGATCTTTCCCCAAATGGACATTTATTAACTGTATATTATGGTATGCCACTGTTACATGCAGAAAGAACATCTTTTCTGCCCTCAAGGCTAGGACCCAAAGCCACTGACCTGTACTTCAGGAAGATGAATAGGAAGGAGGTTAGTTAGCAGCTGACATGAGTCCCCTTGTTCATAACTCAGTTCTCACTGGAAGTGTGTAAGGGGTGAGGGTAGAGGCAAAATATAATTTTCTTAGTGCTCATATTCTTTGGGATCTTTATGTTCCTTCTGAATGAGAAAAAATAAACAAGAGATTCACATTATTCAGAAGAGATATGAATATGGACAGAAGCGTCTTGAGAGAAGTCAAGAGCCATAGAATGGGACAATATGAGTTTCTGCATGCTTCCTCCTTCCTAAATGAATGTATGTCCTGAAGGTTTCTTCTAATCAAGCTTGTTGAGAGCTTGGGAAAGTGAAGATAGGTAAAAAGTCAAGGTTACTCAGAATGCTTAGAAACACAGAGAATGAATGCTAAAACCAACTATAATGACTGTGTGTCTCAGTGGTTGAATAATTGGGCTCTGGTACCAAATAGATTTGGCTTCTTCTTCTTCTTTTTTTAAATAAAAAGAAATTGTATTTACTTGGAAGCATTCAGAATGTCAACTGCAACTTTATTTTATTTTTTAAAAATTTATTTATTTTTTGCAATTAGAGTGGTGTTCAGTTAACAGTAAAACATTTCATATAAGCTGCATCAGAGACAACTGAAGATGAAAAAACTACCATCCACATATATAACTAATTTGTGCTGTGCACCAACAAGAACCTGCTTTAAATTTCCATGACAATTTACAATCTCCATACTGTACCAGGCAAGGTTAGTGGCTATTGAAAATAGGACAGGGCGGTACCACCAGTTGGTATAATGGCTTTGACACTGAACTCCCATGTAGTCGACTGCGATTCGAGTCCTGGACCCAGGACTCATGCTGAGCACGTGTGTGTGCATGCCCAAGATCCCGAGAGGAGAATGGAGAAGGGATTGATTGTGGTGTGGCTATCCCGCCTATGGGGTGATTTCTTGCTTCTGTCTCTCTGTTTCTCTCTATCTTTCTGGTGAGTGCACATGTCCTATAGCAAAAACCCAAAAACCTCTCTTAAAAAAAGAAAAAGAAAGAAAGAAAGAAAGAAAAAGAAAAGAAAATAGGACAGGGCTATCTAAAGACACATTTGGTAGTGTGTTAACTATACAAAAAAAGACACTGTACTTTTAAAAACAAATCTTACACAGCCTTACATTTCAATTTTTTTCTTTAAAAGGAGTGAGTTGTGTATAGGGGGGTTAAATGCTTTATAGACTAGGGAAAAAAAATACTGCACTAGACCAACTTATTCATCAACATCATCTTCTTCATCTTCATCTTCCTCGTCTTCCTCCTCCTCCTTCTTTTTTCTTGCTCTTTTCAGCCTTGACAACTCCCTTTTTTGCTGCATGAGGCTTTCCTTTAGCTTGGTATGCAGGATTATCCTTTTCATAATTTTCCTTCAGTTTAGCAGCCTTCTTCACATAAGGCTGTTTATCATCTGCAGCAGCGTTATTCCACATCTCTCCCAATTTCTTTGCAACATCACCAATGGACAGGCCAGGATGTTCTCCTTTGATTTTTGGGTGATATTCAGAACAGAACAAGGAAAAGGCTGAAGGAGGCCTCCTGGGTGCATTGGGATCCTTGAACTTCTTTTTTGTTTCCCCTTTCGGAGGGATATAGGTTTTCATTTCCCTTTCATAACGGGTCTTGTCTGCCTTTGCCATATCTTCAAACTTTCCTTTCTCTCTAGCAGACATGGTCTTTCACCTCTCTGAGCACTTCTTAGAAAAATCTGAGAAGTTGAGTGAAGCATCTGTGTGCTTCTTCTTGTGCTCCTCCCGGCAAGTTTGCACAAAAAATGCCTATGATGGGAACCAGCAGTTAGCGTAATGGCTATGTCGCTGGACTCCCACGTAGTCGACCGTGGTTCGTGTCCCGGACCCGGTGGCTTAAAACTCACGCCGGGCGCGTGTGCGTGCGTGCCCAAGATCCCGAGAGGAGAATGGAGGAGAAGGGATTGCGGCGTGACCATCCCCCCTGGGGGGTGATTTCTCGCTTTCTGTCTCTATGTCTCTCTCTGTCTGTCTGGCGAGCGCATGCGCTCTACAGTGAAAATCTCTCCAAAAAAAAAAAAAATGCCTATGATGACATTTTGCCTCTTGGCTTCTTAGGATCTTCTTTGCCCACGTTTAGTAATCTTCCTCCATGAGGCACAGAGTTGCCCAGTGTCCATCTGACTCTCACTTGCCCCAGTGCTGTCTCTATGAAGTTCAATGTACTGCGATGACTGTGAGAGTGGGAGCCAGATGCAGCCTCTAGATTTGGCTTCAGATTACAGTTCAGGCACTTAGCTGTGTTCCTTGCACAAGTAACTTCATTGCTCTGTGCTTCGGTTTCCCTATCTGCAAAACAGGTGGACTTTATAGGTGGATCTTAGAAGTCCATATGAGGCATACCTTGCTACTTTATTGATCTCAGAATATAAACCCTCCAATGATTAAGGTTCTTGACTTAACAAAAATTTTGGGTCCCCTCATTCATTTTTTCACCTATCCATCCAACATTCATTCATCAATTCAACAACTACTTATTGAGCACAGCATTGCTTGACATTGTAGACAGAATTCTGTTTAAGAAGATGTTATTCCTGTACTCCTGGAACTTATAAACTGGAGGTGAATGAAGACTAACTATATAATCATTATGGTGATGATGCTATTAATGAGAAAGCACAGGATGCTATGGAGAGACATTAACTTGGGGATCATTCTTTTATTTACTCTTATAATTCTATTTTACTATTCTCTAACTTTCTATCTCTCTCACAGATTACCCACTACAGTCTAACGTTTTTGTATCCCACTCCTAACTTCTACCTTTTCTGAAAACAGCTGAGATTACTAACAGTTTCCTTGCTGCCAATTCTCATACTTTCTTTCTTCATATTAATAGCATTTCACATTGCGATCAGTCTCTGTTTCTTGAGATATTCTCTTTTCATAGGTCTATTGTCTTTCTTATTATCCCTTCTGTTTCTTCAACTCCTTTTAAATTTTTATTATTTATATATTTATTTTTTGCTATTGAGCATGTGTGCTCATCAGAGACAGATGTATATATATATGTACAGAGAGAGAAAGCAAGAAATCATCTCTCTAGGGGGGATGGCATGCTGTAATCTCTTCTACTACATTCTCTCTCTGTCTTTCTCTCTTTTTTTGTCTTGGCAAGGTCTTTGCTATAGGCTGCTTGTGCTTGCCAGAAACACAGAGAGACAGAGAGACAGAAAATGAGAAATCACCCCCGAGGGAGAATGGCCATGCTGCCAACCCCTTTTCCTTCATTCTCCTTTTGGAATCTTGGGCACGTATCACACATGCACGATGAGAGTTTAAGCCACTGGGTCTGGGACTCACACCATGGTTAACTTCATGGGAGTGTAGCGATATAGCTATTATGCCAACTGCTGGCCCCCATTCTCTCTAGGGATTTTGGGCTTGCATATACATGTGCCCAGCATGATTTTCAAGCTGCTGAGTCTGAGACTTGAACCACAGTCAGCCATGTGATTGTCTAGGAACTTAACCACCTTGCAAACCACTGAGTCTTCTTATGCTCTTTGAATTTTGGAGAACACTTAGAGTTTAATTTTTAAAAATTGCCATATGATATGTCCACTTACTGAAGAGAGAGAGAGAGAGAGAGAGAGAGAAAGAGAGAGAGAGAGAAAGAGAGAGAGAGAAAGAGAGAGAGAGAAAGAGAGAGAGAAAGTCCCCCAATTGAGCATGGTCACACTGCAATCTTTCTCTTTCATCTCTCCATCCTGTTGGGATTTGGGGCACTCACACTCACGTGCCCAGTGTGTTTTTCAAGCCACCAAGGCCAGAATTTGAACTGTGGTTAGCCATGTGGGATCTGACTCCCTTAATCACAAGACTGTGAGTGGCCTGAGTTTAATATTTGAGCCTGTTCTGTATGTGCTTCTAGTCATGAACTCACATTCCAACATCATTTATTACTACCTGCAAGGTAAGGATAGCTAAATCCGTAAAACTGGTTCCAAATTTAGATGCTTTGACATTATGGCCATTAAAAACTAAAATGATCATTTCCACAACTTCTTTTCTGACTCTTTTATGTTTTTATTGAAATTAATGGCAGTAACATTTACTTAGTCTTCTTGGACTAGAATTTTGTGCTCTGCCCACAATATTCATTCTTCCCAAACTTCTTTCTCTATTTTTGTTTGTCTTATTTCTATTAATCAAGACTCTGTTTAAATGGCATCCCCTCTAAGGTCATTTATTGACCACTAACTCAGATTGAGGTATACAATTTTTTTTCACTTATAAAACTTTATTCATTTCTTTATATTACCAGTTAACAGTTTATAATTTATTTATTTCCATGTATCTCTTACTGGAGTTTAACTCTGTTGGGTATTTAGCACCTTGGCAAAGAGTATGGCACATACGTCCACTAAGGCTTTGATTCTCTCAATCTCTCTCTCTCTCTTTTTTGCTATAGGACATGTGCTCACTGGAGAGAACCAGTGAGAGATGGAGAGGGAAAGTGAGAAATCAGCTTCCCCTCCAGAGGAGTGGCCTGCGGCAACCCCTTCTCCTCCACTCTCCACTCAGGATTTTGGGCATGTACGCACACATAAATGCCTGGCATAATTTTCAAGTCACCTGTTACTGGACTTGAACCTCAGTCAATCATGTGGGGATCTAGCACCTTAACCACCCTGCATCTCCTGGCCCCAAAGTTTTAACTCTTTAATTATTTAAACATTTACAAACTTTTTGACTCTATCCTTGAAGGCTTGTTTTACCTGTTGGTTTCTTAGTGTGTAAATGAAGGGGTTCAACAAAGGTGCAACTGAAGTAATGAGTAGAGCTACTACCTTGTTAAATGTGTCTGCCTTTTTTCCTGAGGGTTTAACATAAATGAAGAAGCAACTTCCGTAAGAAAGGGAGATGACAATCAGATGAGAAGAGCAAGTGGAAAAGGCTTTTGTCCTTTGCTGGACAGAGGGGAGCTTCACAATAGTCCTAATGATGAATGTATAAGACAGGATAATTAGTACCAGAGTGACTACCAGGGTCACGGATGCCACAAAATAGACAACCTTCTTTATAAGGCTTGTGTCTGAACAGGAGAGTTCTCGAAGAGGCTCATAGTCACAGAAATAGTGATTCAGCCTATTGGATGCACAGAAGTCCTGCTGACTCATCAGGATGATTGGTGGTACAATAACCATCAATCCAGCCAGCCAAGAGCAGAGAACCAGCTGAATACAGATCTTGCTGCTCATGATGGTCATGTAATTCAGGGGTTTGCAGATGGCCACGTAGCGATCGTAGGACATGGCAGTCAGAAGGTAAAACTCTGTGGACCCAAGGAATATGGCAAAGAAATATTGAGCAAAGCAGCCAACAAAGCTGATACTCTTGTTCCCTGTTGTGATACTGATAAGGACTCGGGGAATGAAGATGTTCGTGAAGGAAATTTCTAAGAAGGAGAAGTTTCGGAGAAAGAAATACATGGGAGTCTGAAGGTGTGAGTCCAGTAAGGTGAGGATGAGGATAGTCAGATTTCCAATAATGCTGAGTAAATAGGCAAGGAAAAGAAAGGTGAAAACTGCCACCTGGAGCTGAGGAACATCTGTTAGACCCAGAAGGATAAACTCAGTGAACACGGTTTTATTTTTCATCATTGAAAAAAATTTTGAGTCTCCAGGTGAAAAAGAGAAAAATTGGAGGCGAGGAAAAACAGGTGCTCTGAAATGGACAGGTGAAATCTGAGAACAAGATAAAACAGATCATGAACTTTTCCTCTGATGACATGATCTAGATCAATGGCCCTTTTGAATGATGTCGATCCTCCCTGGTCCCATTTTCCCTGTGTAGAAAAGTTCTTGTTATTATTCAATGGAGCGGTGTCTGCCTAATTCATTCTACATTATTTATATGTATCTATCTATATCTATTTATTTTGTTCAAGAAGTTTGTGGAATGAGTGAATAAAGACACACCACTAGCTGTCTTCCTATTTCCAAAATAGATATTGGCTTCTTTCCCTCAGTATTCACTATCCTTTCTTCTAATTGATTCTATTCATTTTCCTACTTCTTTCATCTGCTTGACTTTTCTCAGAATCGCTGTTTTTCTTACTCTTCCCTGCCTTTTTCATTTTCCTTTTTCATTTAACTTAGCGATCTTTCATTTTTATTCAGATTCAACTCTCTTAATTCCTTTTATGTAAAAAAAAAAGCCAGCTCCTAACTTTTTCACAATAGACTCCATGCCCGTGTCTCTCCATTATAATCCAAAGACTTGTGTATTAGGATTATGTTAGTTTGTCCTTTGAAACATTCTACATATCTGTCTGGAGGGGGGTCAATAAATATTAGATTACAATAGTGATCATTTACCTATTCAAACACATTAAGGATCTTTAGCTCCAGAATTTTGCTTTCTTGTAAAGATAGATTCTATCACACTCTTAGGAAATTTTAGGAGCTTCTGAATATTTAAAGCAGGAACTCTTAATTAGAGATTCATTAATTCCTATTGAGTTGTTAGAAAAGCCATGATGTATTTTTTTCTAAGCAAAAATGCATCAGGACATTTCTGACAACTCAATAGATTAGATTTACTGTCTGTGAATTCAGTAAATAATTTGTAAAACATTTAGTATATGTGGATATGTGAACTTTATGGGGAAATTATATAAATCTTTGACTCGTGGTTTTCTGAAAGATTTCATATTTGAGTTGCTCATGGGCATTTCAAATCTCTATTTGTGAACTTATGTTGTTAAAGAGTTATATTATCTGAAAGTGTTCTTATTGACTCATTCAAGATTTTTTCCAAATTTCCACAATTGTGTGCTCTCATAAGAGTGAGGTGTGTGCGTGTGTGTGTGTGAGAGATAAAGAGGAGAGAGAGAGAGAGAGAGAGAGAGAGAGAGAGAGAAAGCACCCCCCCCCCAAATGGATGTGGTCATGCTGCAATCTCTTCTCCATTTCTCCATCTCATCATGATTTTGGACATGCAGGCCCATGTGCCCAGTGTGTTTTTGAAGTCACTGAGGCTGGGATTGAAACTACAATAGACTTGTGGGACCTGGCTCCCTTGGCCACTATACTATGGGGCCAGCCTCAAGATTTTTTTCTATTTATTATTTTTATAAACATTTATAAGCAGGGGACCAGCAGTTAGTGTAACAGCTAGGTCGCTGGACTCATCAACCGTGATTCGAGTCCCGGACCTGGTGGCTTAAACTCACACTGAGTGCATGTGTGTGCGTGTCCAAGATCTCAAAAAGAGAATGGAGGAGAATGAAGGAGAAGGGACTGCGGCATGGCCATCCTCCTTGGGAGGTGATTTCTCACTTTCTGTCTCTCTGTCTTTCAGGCTAGCACACGTGCCCTATAACAAAAACCTCTCCAAAAAACCCCCCAAAAAACAACAACAAGAAAAATCTATAAGGTAGCAGCTTTTAAGCATGTTTGACCATAATTCATTATATATATATTTTTCAGCAAATATTTTATGTATAACGTAAGCATAAAATGATGCATATAGTAATATCCATGATTTGATTATCACACACTGCCTGTATGGTTTGAAAAACCATATCATATGCCATAAAATTTACTTATATACAAATAAGAAAATATAAAGTAAAAACCAAATAAAAACAAAAGCAAAACCAAAGATTTTACAGAACACTTCTTATTACATAAGAAATAATCTATTATTAAAAAAATTATTCTATTTAAGATTTTTTTTCACATGCTGGTTGCAACCAACTATATTGACTTCATGACCTCCTAGTAGATTTCTGCCCACATTTGGAATCGAGAATCAGAAAAAGTTATACAATGGTCTGATTGCCCTTACCTCATGATTACCAACCTAGAATCTTCAGGAAGTAGTTGTATGTTCACATCTGTACCAGTTTTGAGCTACACAATCACAGAGAAGCAAATTCAATGATTCTATAAACAGGGAACCCACTTCCTTACTTGACTATCCAAATAGGTACAGTAGGATTTTTATACTAAATATTCTTAGAGGCAAATCAAAAAATTATATCACAACATAAGGCAAAATTTACTGCATTTTTTCTAATACATTTTTTGTCCTCAGTCCTACCCTACTTTTCATAAATATATAAAAACTTCCAGGATTTCCCTTGGTAGCAATTAGTATTCTCCTGCTCCTGTGCCTTATCAGTTTAGTGAAGATTTGCAGATTTCTGCTATTTAAATATTCAGATTGGAGCTGAATCAAAGTGTCTGAGCATTCTGTATTTTTAAAGTAGAGCCAGTAAGTAGTGCTAAAAGAAGAACTTTTAGGTAGAGAATAGTCCTCGGTTTTTCTATTCTGGGAGAAATGATGTCGATGACCTGAGAAAGCAGAAAAAGAACATCCTCTTCCACTGCAGACTGTACTTCACTCAGGGTGACAAAAGTTATTTCTGCTATTAGAGCATGTACTGGGGAATCAACTGAGCGAAGAAGCACAAGGATGCCCTGGGGATCCTTGTTTGGAATAGGCTAATGAGTGTTGACAACATTGGGAACAAACCTTAAACATACAGCTGAGGGACAGGAATCCAGAGAGATTAACTAGTGAGTGGGTTGGTGGAGGGAAAGGTCAGATAAAAGATCAGCTTTAGAGAAGAAAGAATATGGGTCATTATAGTTTCCTTTTCCAGCAGTGGTGACATAGCTTGGTTGTGGACAAGCAGATTAGGTGGAACTGTTTGCCAGTCATGAAAATCCTGAAGAGCCACATTTTCTAAATGTCACAAGGCTGGTTTTAATTAACCTATTTATCAACTATTGACAAAAGAGATTGAGCAGCAGTTTTCAATTTTTTGGAAGGTGCATGCAGAAATAAAATGTAAAACAGATAAAAGGGGTTAGTCAGTGATGTGGTGGCGGGAGTGATTGGATCCCACATGGCTAACTGCATGGTTTGAGTCCCAGACTCAGTGGCTTGAAGAGTACTCCAAGCATGTGTGTGTGTGTGCATGTGTACCTGAAATAGAGAAAGGATTGTAGCATAGTCAACCCGTCTGCAGAGTGCTTTCTTAACTTTCTCTCTCTCTCTGTCTCCAGTGAGTGCACACTCCCTATAGCAAATTCAAACAAAACAAACCAAAAAAAACAGATGAGAGTAAAATACTCAAACTGAGGTAGGGGTGGGTGCCTTTGAATCACTTTTTAAAGAACATTTGCAAAACTCCAGTTTAAGGCAATGAAGCCATTAAGATATCTATCTATCATCTATCTATCATCTATCTATCATCTATCTATCTATCATCTATCTATCTATCTATATCTATCTATCTATCTATCTATCTATCTATCTATCTATCTATCTATCATCTATCTATCTATCATCTATCTATATCTATCTGGAGAGGCTAACACATTGCCATCCAAGGACTTCACATCAGTTAATTTATCAGGTTACTAATCTATTTATCAATGGAATAAAAAAAAACAATGCTAGCCTTGGAACAAAATGTCAGAATTAAGGAAAAAATATTCACTAACCAAATGTTTCACAAATGGTTTCCCCATACATGGTTTCATATAATTCTCAAATCAATGGTTGGCCCAGAGAGAGGTGTAGGTGCAAGGACAGCAATGCTGTAGGTTCTTACATTTCATTTTATAATTTCTTGTCTATATTTAATTGTTGTACATCTTTATGGTGTACAACATAGTTTTTCAAAGCATGTAGGCTGTGTGCCTGGTAACCAGTCAGAGATATTACCATATGTACCATTTTTACAAATAAACTTACATTCTTGTATTTGGTAAACACTTTTTTCCTGAGACCACTCGCCCACCCCTTACCATATACCCCCTTCCATACAGTCTCTGGTATCGGTATGTGTCCTCTCTATTTTTAGTTACGTGACCTTACATATAGAAATCTCTAAGATGTCACAAAAAAAATTCATTAAGACTGATACATAAATTCAGTAAAGTTGCAGGATACAAAATTAACACATAAAATCAGTAACATTTTTGTATACCCATAATTACTAGCCCAAAAAGAAATAGAAAAATTACATTTACAATAGCTACAAAACTATATAAAACACCTAGGGATGAATTAACCAAAGAGGTGCAAGATCTCTATATTGAAAACTGAAAAGCACTGATAAAAGGAATTGAAGACACACAACAAAATGGAAAGACATCTCATGTTTATGGATTGGAAAATGCAATCTACAGATCAATACAAAACCTATGAAGATACCAATGACATTATTCACAGAAACAGAAAAAAAAAATCTGGAAGAAATCACAAAAGACCCTAGCTAGCCAAAACAATCCTGGAGCTGGAGGCTTCACACTGCTGCATTTCAAAATATATTACAAAATCATAGTGACCAAAACAGCATTGTCCTAGATGAAAAAAAAAAAAAACCCAACAGAATGGAATAGAGAACTTATAAATAAATCTATGTATATAAAGCCAGCTGATTTTCAACAAAGGTGAATAGAACATCCATGGGAAAAAGACAGTCCATTCCAATAAAGTGTGGTAAGAAAATTGAGCATCCATATTCAGAAGAATGAAACTAGACCCTTATCTTTCACCATATAAAAATTATTAAAGACTTAAACTTAAAACTATGAAACTATTGGAAGAAAACATAGAGAAAGTACTTCATGACATT